CACTATAAAAGAGAAGAAGATACATTATAAAAAAAGATCAAATGTGTAAGTAAAGAAAAAATGATTCAATAGTTACAGACTGTCGCTTTCTTGTTGCATAATATCTTGAACAAATTCCACCTCAAATGAATGTTGTGGATCCAATAGTAAGATGTGAATGCATAAAATTACAGGAAAAAAAATGCATACTGTTGGTATTGCAAATCTGGATATGGCCGGGGCAACCCTTCTACCACTTTTCTTGGGTGTTTTTGCATGTGCCTCCTTTTTAGCTTTTGACTTCTTAGAACTTTGCTTAGTCATTGTTATAGGATCTTCATAATCAAAGATTCGATTAGTGTTCGTTGTGACTATTTGGATAATCCTAATACTAAAAGACGGATGATCCATAAAGTATAAGAAAATATTTAAAAAATGATAAAAAAGAAGTTGAAGATGAAGAGATTACCTATTTCAAACTCTGAAATTGATTGAATGGGGAGAGAATTAGTTTGAAATTCAAAATTGGAATAATGAATCTGTTGAGAATAATGGGGGAGAAAATTTGGAGATGGAATCGTGTGTTGTGGGAAAATCTGAGGAGAGATTGAGGGCGAAAATTAGAGAATGGAAAAGGTCAATTTGGCTTCCAAAAAATAAAGTATCCGGTTAAGTTGAATTGGGGAAAAATAAGAGATTTTTGTATTTTAATAACAGAGTAGGGAAATATTGAGAATATGTAAAGTAATGTTGTGTACTTAAGTAATTTGTCCATTATAGTAATATTTCTATATTTATATAAGTTTGTGTACGACTTTGGATATATATCTTATTTGAATAATTAACTTAATACTTATCTTATTTATCATCAAATTAATCAAAATTTTAATTAGTGGTATTTTCTATAATTAGTTAATTATTTCACATTTGTAAAAATGAAAAAGCTTATTAATTGATTAGATACATAATTTATTTTATTTCAAATATTATCATCTTAAAGTATTATTTTCAAGACTCGGGGACCTATTTCCTTTGAAATCAAATTGGACCTCACCGTTTCAAAATTCACACAAAGAGAGCCCAATTTCTTGGTCCATTTCAAAGATCCAGCCCCTTTTTAGCCCTCTTGCTGTTCTCGACTCTTTCAGGATGCAACTCCAGCAAACGAAGAAGGAGGCGAACGAGCCCTAACTCCCAATTTCATCTGTCTTTTCTCCTTCGTATTTGTACAATCTGCGTGAGGCAAAAGACGCGCGGAGCTTCCGGAGGCAACCTTGATGTGGTCCATTCCAATTTCCTTTTTATTTTTAATTTCGTTTCAAATTCGTACGATTCCAGCTCACTGGAGCCTGATTCTCTGTGAAATTAGTTCCTCCCACATCGATTCTTCATCAGGAATTTGAGAGATTCACTGTTCAGGGACGGTTTTTTGGAGACCTAAGAATACCCCTATAAGGTTTGGAAATTCTTGGTCCAATAGTTTAAAATTTTGTGGCTTTTGTGGTTGTTTGAGTTGAAAGTTGTGGAGTCGTCTTCTCAACTAGTCGTTCCCGTTCGCAGGTAATATTTCTTTGTTTCTACAATTTTCTTTATGCGTGTTTATAAATTCTGTTTAGAGTAGTTTGTAGTAATATGTTAGCATAGTTAGATTTTCTTCTGCTCGTTTAAGCCGAGTCTAAATTGATGGTCTCGTTGCTTATAGTCATGTTTTGTTCTTAGTTTTGTTGGAATTAATTAGTTTAACTGAATATTTTTCCTTCGCCATGCTTAATGAAAATTTGGCTATGGCTTTGCCTACATATAAAGGACCCCTGAACTTTACAGAAGTTTAGTGATGAATGGTGATAAGAAAATGGCCCAATATGATTATATTCAATCCGAATCGAAATTGTTAAAATCAAATTTATTATAGTTCGGTTTCCGTTAACATTTTTACCAAACCAAAAAACTGAACCAAAATCAGCAAACCGAACCGACCGAACGCCCAGCCATAGTTAGGAGGCCTTATTCCCCAATGTAAGCTAATGGTATGCAACAATGAAGGTAGTCCTAAGTGGCTATTTCTATTTACTTTGGTGGTACAGGGCAGGATATATACAAGAGATAGGTTGTTTAAATGGGGAGTTTCTATTACAACTGTGTGCCCCCTATGTGTGGTAAGAGGATAAAACTTTAGAGCACCTGTTTTCAAATGCCCATACTCAACTAATTTATGGGTAAAGCTGTTACACTGGATGAATATACACAGGGATGGACACAAGAACTGGAATGGGCTATCAGTCATGCTAATGGGTAGATGGCCAGTGCCTGAGGTTACTGGTAGGGTATGTTTATTCTATCTATCTGGCTAGAAAGGAATCAAAGAGTGTTTCAGAACAAGAGAACTGTTGAAGAAGTCTGCAGGATAGTACAAGAGGTGCATTGTTGAGGCTACTGCCAAAACAAGATAGCAAGTTTCCTACTGCAACACGATGTTTACCCTTAAACTACAGAAATGATTTTCTCTCAAAAGTGTCGTAGAACAGGAGGTACAGATGGAGAATAGGGGGAAGGAGGTTTAGCTTAGATACTGATGGCTTGGTATTGATTGTATTTGATACATATCCCACACATGTACATTGTTGCTTCTTTGTTAAATTAAATCTGTATTTACCCCCAAAAAAGATTAAATTAAGCTGTTTAGTTAGTCAGAAAATGACATACCTAATTGGTGGAAGAATGTGTACAAGGTCTTTGCTCATTCTTTTTGTGACATCTAGTTTCCTTTATGGTCTTGTTGACTTTGACAAGTCACAGCTTACTGAATAGAAAATTCATGTAAATAGCCCAAAGTAATTAAAAAATATGAAAACTTAAACTATAGAAGAAGTTATTAGTTGTTCTTAAAAGCATTTGTGATTGTGAATTTGTTTGTCCACACTTGATATACTTTTGTTGCCTTGCATTCTGATTTATGATATATCGGAAATCTAATTCAAAGGTTAACATGCAGCATATAGGAGATAATCAGTTGCTTGATATGCAGTCAAACAGCAAAGATCTGCTTCACTTGGAGACTGAAGGCGGCTTGTCTTTGGAATCAAAACTTCTCATTTGCACTAGTGATGGCGGATCTCAATCCCTAAATTTGAAACCTGACCTTCCTGATAAGAAGCCTGAAATTTCTTCTGTACCCAAAAGCCAAGTTCTAACAAAGGTCAAGGATTTTTTGGGAGTATTTTTGGAAAACAATAGAAAAGTGGAGCTTGAAGCTAAGAAGAATCCTGAGAAATATGACATTGAAGCTCTTACTGGTGAAGAATCTGAATACATAGAGATGGACTTAATGTTGGGTGTTGCTGAACTTCACACACAGGAAGCTGTATCAGCTGCTGAATCCGCAATAGCAAGTTACCAACCAGTAATCGATCTCAATACCAATGATACGACAGAATCTGAAGACAGTAGCGATGAGGATGACATTCAGGATACCAGCAAAAGTGATGACGATGATGGTTTTCCTCTAGGAAAAGAATCTAAGCTTACGGAAAAGGATTCTCCTAAGAAAGCATTGAAGAGGAAGCGAAATCGAGCTAACATAGTTGAGCTCTCTTAGTGCTAAGGACATTAAACAATTGTTAGCTTATTTTTAGTTCTACTCTTTTATTTTATTAGTTAAGTGTAATGTAATGCAAACAATACAAATCAAGTCCATTTCAAAGGAGAAAGGTATATCTGTTCCAAAAGCAAAGGAGTTTTGTTTCTCCAAATTAACTCTCTTGCAAATCCTATATAAGATTTGCGACCAAAAGAAAAGAAGCTTCTTCCTCCGATCCTTTCTTGTTTCTTTCAAGTCATTTTTTGAACAATTGATTTTGGGCAACCTCCTATTTTTAACTTATTCACATACTTCCATATAAATAATATGTTTAGTTAAATTCAAGTGTCTCTAGTTTTTTATGCTTCTCCACTATTTTGCTGTCATAAGGCATTCCCTCTCCAGACCCCATTTGTGAGATTACTTTGGGTGTATTGTTGTTGTTGTCCAGTTAACTTTCTCAGCATGGCATTTGCAACCCTTGAGTGATGTTGCTCAAGGTTTCCTTTTAAGTTTTCTATGCAAGGTGAAATTGTTTGGACCTATCTTATGAAATTGGATAACACATTGTTGAAGTGTGTAATCATCTCATTTAAAAGATTAAAGTTGTTATAGAGAGTACACTTTTATTAGGCAATTGTATTCTCAACACTCTCCCACATGTGCGGGCTTGACTCTTTTTGATGGGCCAAGCATGTGTATTTTTTTTTTTCATTTGGGTGGTGGTGAGATTCGATCTCAGAACATCTGCCTACTCTGACACTATATTGAAGTATTAACCATCTCATTTAAAAGTTTAAACTGGTACAGAGAGCACACTTTTATTAGTTAGTTGTATTCTCAATACATATCAAGACTAGGGCCAGTTCTACTAGAATGAAGTGAATCATGTTTCTTAAATACTGTTAACATTGGGATTTTTCAGCTTTGCTTTGCTACATTTGTCAAATTAGTGAGAACTCTAGTACCATTGCATCTGCTATATTTACTACTTCAAAAGTTCTTATTACTGTATGCACATGTTGATGGACAACATTCTATTGCTGCTAACACACATTTCACTTTTATGCATGAATGCAAAAGCACCCCACCTCTATTTGTTTTATTTTCGTCTTCTAAAGCTTATGAATGAAGGCATTTCTGTCACCCATGGGATGTTGCTTGGAGGTTACATTGGCCTACCATACATTCCCAGTTCAGAAAAACTAACAAGTTTTTCTTTCATGTTTCAGAAAAATTTAAGGTAAATACTTCACTGGATGAAAAGGACAGCTCCAGAAATGGTGGATCTGGACACATAGCGGCACATATGTTTACAGTTCGTGAATTAGCTGCTGCAACCAAATATTTTAGGGCAGATTGTCTCTTGGGAGGGAGGTTTTGGTAGAGTATATAAAGGGTGATTAGAGAGAACTAATCAGGTTGGTCTAGCTCATAAATTTAACTCTTAAATTGGAAATAAAATGGTGACTTGCCTTTTATGATCAATGTGTTCAAACACTTTTTGTTCTTATTAGTTAATTTTGAGTTGGCGTTCTCTCCATTTCATGCTATACTGTTTCTTGGTTTCTTCCTATCAAAGAGGAAAGTGCAAAGTCTTTTGAAATGGTGAAAGAATTCAGAAGACAGTTATTCATTGATTACTCATTTGAAGCATGTATCTCACTGTATGTACAGTCGGTTTTGATCTTCTGTTTTTAATTTGGGGTGATGATGTAAGGTTTTATCTTTAAAATCTGATTTCAACCGCAGTTTAGCTCCACTATTGTGGAATCAGTCACTCCGACAATCTAAAGATAGCTAATCTCTTTTCTGGTTATTGATTTAGAGCTAGAGCCTTCTAATTTTTCTCATTTATAGGTAGACTACAAAGAAATTTTAGTAAAACAGAAACCAAGACACCCTCATCAAAGCTCTGCAAAAATAGAAGATTTTAATGATCATAATGCAATTCCACCTCAAGGTTTTGCCCGGTCTCTTGTTATCATTTGATTGTCCTTGAGCTTAAGGAGAAGTCATTTCAGTGTAGACCTTTTTGTTCATTAAATAGAAGCAATTTTAAAGAAGAAATAAGAATCAGCTTGGTCACAGCGACAATGAAGAAGACCATAGTATGGACTTGACTCAAAGCAGTGTCCTACTGGCATTATGCTAACAAACACCATGCTGCTGTGTCTGCTAAATCCCCTTAACTGCTTCCAGGATTAAGTCTAAAGAGATGATACAGGCCAATCTGCTTCCTTTTTTGTCTGCCTTCTGTGCTAACTCCACCAGCCCTCGCCCTTTAAAATCTTGACCAAGTTCAACAATTGACAAATTTCTTATTATTGATTCCACTTTTCAATTGAGCATAGCTATTTTGTGGAGGTGGAAATGAGTATTATTGCTGAAGAGCTTCCTGTTTGCACCAAAAGTCCTTGCAACACCTGATACTGCAAACATCACTGAAATGTAATGGTGAAAGGTACACTATCCCATTTCCGATGAATTTGAGGACGAGAAACCTTAATGATTTGCATCTTAATATTTAGCTTCCTGAGGTTTATACCTTTATAGTGTTGTGCCGTAACGCCCCATGTTCCTCGGCTGATGGTGCTATGATTGAACAGCTTCATCACCTGCATTGTCGTCTTCTCATTTTATATTCTGCAACATTTTGTCTCTTAGGATGCTGTTAGCGAGAATTCTTTTATCCACCGGAGAAGTTTAGACGCACAACTTGGGTCTGACATATTAGTTTTGCCACCTTTGAATTTTTCCTCCGTTCATAACTAACTTTTATCTATACTTCTGTACTGTTAGCAGAGATAGATACTAGAGCTACCAGCCTCGAGAGAAAAACAAGGCTCATCCACCTAATGTGTTCCAGGTGCCACGGGGTCATTTACTGTTACTGTGCTCAACAGTAAATTAATTCTGTTTTGTCATTTGAATATTGCTCGTACTCTTTAGATTGCTTATGAGGCATGAAAATGATTTCTTATATAGGTCGTGGCCATCAAGCAACTTGACCAAAATGGATTGCAAGGAAATAGGGAATTTCTTGTTGAGGTCCTGATGTTAAGCCTACTTCACCATCCACACCTTGTCAACTTGATTGGATATTGTGCTGATGGAGATCAGAGATTTCTAGTTTACGAGTTCATGCCGTTAGGATCACTGGAAGACCATCTACATGGTATGCATAAGAGGACTAATTAATTAATGCTATCATATTCTGGATCTTACTGTTATTAACAAAAAAATGTGTTCTTAAGATTAAAATAGCCATACTGGAGTTCATCCGGAATTTATTTGAAGGAATTTTGGTTAGTTTGTGAAGTACTAAGTAATCCAAGGGATTAATATCAAATCTTGCTGCACCATAAAAAAATATTGCATAGCTTCCTTTCTATACAAATCGGTATCTGATGGGACTTTTTTTTCAATAAATAGTGGAATTTTATTAAATAAAGGGCAAAGCACACCTGTTGCCATCTGACAGGAGTTGAAAGCTAATCTTTTGTATTCCTGAGTAATTTGCAGATGCTTGTTGAGCTAATGAAAATTATTACTTGTGGTTTCAATTGTGACATAAAATTCCAAATTGGTAGTTTGTTTTTCATCAATTTTTTCATAAAATCTTTCCTTTTCTGTTGCTCCTTACTGGTGTCATTATATCCAAAGTGTCTTTGATGTTGCATCTAATTTATCATGTATTTGGTTAAATAACCAGAGCTTTCACCCGACAAAACACGACTAGACTGGAATACAAGAATGAAAATAGCTGCCGGTGCTGCCAAGGGCCTTGAGTACTTGCATGATAAAGTGAATCCCCCTGTTATATACAACAACAACAACAACAACATACCCAGTGAAATCCCACTAGGTGGGGTCTGGGGAGGGTAAAGTGTACGCAGACCTTACCACTACCTCGTGGAGGTAGAGAGGCTGTTTCCGGAAGACCCTCAGCTCAAGTGTAACAAAGCCAAGTATAGGAAGAGAATTATATAAAGCATAACATCCAATAAGAAAAATAGTGCATAATCAACAAAGGGGGCAATACATCAAGAAAATAATGCGAGAAGTGAAACGCAGTAAACAACATAAGGCAATAGGGATCACATACAAGAACTACAAGTGTACGGCTAAGACTCCTACAAACGCTAACAACCCATACCCTCGCCAGGAAAGACAGCACGCTAACCCTACTAGCCTTCAACCTTAATACGTGACCTCCACTCCTTCCTATCTAGAGTCATGTCCTCGGTAATGTGTAGCTGGGCCAAGTCCTGTCTAATCACCTCTCCCCAATACTTCTTGGGCCTACCTCTACCCCTCCGCGTACCCTCTACTACCAGCCCCTCGCACCTCCTCACTGGGGCGTCTGCGCCCTGTCTCTTCACATGTCCAAACCATCTCAGTCTCGCTTCCCTCAGCTTGTCCACCACAGAGGCCACTCCCACCTTCTCCCGGATAACCTCATTCCTAATCTTATCGCTCCTAGTGTGCCCACACATCCATCTCAACATCCTCATCTCCGCAACATGCATTTTCTGAACATGTGAGTTCTTGACTGGAAAAATAGTGCATAATCAACAAAGGGGGCAATACATCAAGAAAATAATGCGAGAAGTGAAACGCAGTAAACAACATAAGGCAATAGGGATCACATACAAGAACTACAAGTGTACGGCTAAGACTCCTACAAACGCTAACAACCCATACCCTCGCCAGGAAAGACAGCATGCTAACCCTACTAGCCTTCAACCTTAATACGTGACCTCCACTCCTTCCTATCTAGAGTCATGTCCTCGGTAATGTGTAGCTGGGCCAAGTCCTGTTATATACAGAGATTTAAAATGTTCTAATATTTTGCTTGATGAAGACTACAATCCCAAGCTATCTGATTTTGGGTTGGCCAAGTTGGGACCTGTAGGCGACAAGACCCATGTTTCCACCAGAGTCATGGGAACCTATGGTTATTGTGCACCAGAATATGCAATGACGGGGCAGCTTACACTTAAATCTGATGTTTATAGTTTTGGAGTAGTTCTTCTTGAAATTATTACTGGTAGAAGTGCAATTGACACATCAAGAGCTGCTGGAGAGCAGAATCTGGTTGCATGGGTAAGAGAAATTGATTTTTCTGTTAATGTGTTAGTTTTATGGTGTCAGTTGTTCTAACAGTGTTGTGGAACAACTTAAGCTGTGTAGTTTATGTGTCTTTTCTTTAATCTTCAACTAGTTGGTGCATGCTTATTATGTTGCACGACCAATCTGTTGCGGTTTTTATTAGGTGCAAGGTTTCTCAATTATTTTTCGTGCCTGCTTTCTGAATCAACCACTCAAATGCTCATTGGGACTTGAATATATTCTGTTGTCCTTTGGGTTCTGTGCATTTAATGCTGCTCTCTGCTAGACCTCTAGTTGGTCTTCAATATTTGCAGGCTCGACCATTGTTCAAAGACCGTAGAAAGTTCTCACAAATGGCTGATCCAGAGCTTCAATTCAGTATCCAGTTAGAGGCCTGTATCAAGCTCTTGCAGTAGCTGCAATGTGTGTCCAGGAGTAGCCCAACATGCGCCCTCTCATGGCAGACGGAAGGACGACTCTGGAACTCAGCCAGTCCAAAGGTGTGTCAACTCCGAGAACAAGAAGGGACTTATGATTGTTACAGTGGATGAGAATTTAGCAGACATTGGAATTTGGCAACTACATGGTTGTTCTCAGCAAAATATGTCACTTTGCTTTTAGTTTTCTCTTGGGAATTCTTTTAGGTACTTCCTTTTCTCATTTTGCTTTGTAGATTATGTAAATTAGAGAGCCAATTGGCAGTTGGACAGTAGTGATGAAAACTGTTTGTAGTGTCCTCTCATATGATGATATTCTTCTTGTAAAAAAAAGGAGAAAAAGCACTGATATTGCTTATTTTAGTGTATTTTGCTAATTTGTGCAAGAGGAATATTAAGGGATTTGCCAACTCACTACACAACCAAATCGTATGTCACGCCATCTTGTAATCAATTTCTTACCTTGAGGCTTCAACTTACCTTGGCCAACTACAATTGATAAAAGCATTCTACTATTCTAGTCTTTGGCTCAAAATAGAAAAAAAATTCTTCTACTACGCACATAGGGGATAGGGATGGTAATAAGGCGGGGCGGTTCTAAGGCCATGTGGGTGAAGTGTGTTTTTTAAAAACTAATTCGGGGGGCGGGTCTGTGTTATTTTATGCGGGTTCAAATTTAATTTTATAGAACATTATTTATCAAGATAATTTCTAAAATATTCAAGGTAGTAATGAAAATGGTTAAATCAAACTAATACGATTTCTTATATGCTTCTCAATTAAACTCTAAAAGATAATCTGGTTCCTTTTTCTGAGACCCTATACCTTCTCAATCATGAGATAGAAAGATTGAGCAAGTATTCTTTTTCACGTCATTTGGTTTGAAGAATACAAAGTAGTAATCATGGTATATAATTTTTGTCAGCTTCTAGCTTTAAGCTTCTATGTGCAATGAAGTGGCATCTTCCTTGACATTACACGGTTCAAGTTAGCTATTTTTCATTCATCTTATTTTATTTTAATTTTTTCAATTTTTCTTACTTTTCTTCTTTGTTTTCTTTTCTTTTCGTTTTTCTTTTTATTTTTTTCTTTTTCTTTTTCTTTTTCTTTTTCTTTTTCTTTTTCTTTTTCTTTTTCTTTTTCTTTTTCTTTTTCTTTTTCTTTTTCTTTTTCTTTTTCTTTTTCTTTTTCTTTTTCTTTTTCTTTTTCTTTTTCTTTTTCTTTTTCTTTTTCTTTTTCTTTTTCTTTTTCTTTTTCTTTTTCTTTTATTGAATGTGTAATATAAATAAAATGAACAATTATCGATGGAGGTACCATGCTAATCCTTTTACACCCTCTGTTTCTTTTTTTCTTATAAGTATGTTATATCAAGCAGTATATCACTATATTGTAGTAGATATTTTTAATACATCACACTTGGTGAAGACACTGAACAATTTTTGTCTATTTATGAATTGGTTAAATACTCTAATTAAGTTATATTGCTACTTCATTTGTTTTTCTTTCTGATTTTTTTTTTCCATTGGTCAAACTCAAATACTATTGAAAGTGTTATAAAATAATTACTTAATAAACTTAAGATTAACACACTTAAAAAAGAGAACAATGGAGAGAGTAATGTCTTTCAATCTATATTCCTACATTTGTAAATGTAGTAGCTATTTATAGTAGAAAGCTAAAGTACAAATGTATAACTTGGCTACTAATTGCCAAGTGTTGATAGTTTCCCAAAAGATGGTTTCCACATGACATGCATATTTGCCTTACACCATGATAAGTGATGAAAGTCACTAAATTGATAGTCTCCAAGTGGCATCCTTCATTTTCTTACAACAGAAAGCAAATAGTGTAGTGTTTTTTTTTTTGTTATAGTAAATTGTTAAAGGTGCTTCTCATTTTAGTATCACGATGATGAGTCTTTGGCTCAAATTATATTTAAAACTAATAAATAAAATTGGTTCAGATTAGAATGCTTATATTGAAAGGGATAATGGATAAAACAAAATATTACTCTCTTTTCACTTTTCGAGTTCTGATAAACAGGTCTTCAACTTCTCTTGAAACGAAAAGCCTAAAAGGGCTATAAATTCATTTTTCGACTATTATGTTTTTAAGTTTACTAGATGAATATTGTGGACAAATACCCGAATCTATAACATCCTGTTCCAGAGGGCGGGATGGATAGCTTAACCTGAATTGATTAGTCACAGCGATCCTTGATAAAGAGAGGCGGTGTTGAGTCCATGCAAACTCTAAATTCGTCTAGCGCTTCAAACCATATTGGATTTCTAGATAAGGAGCGAGTGATCACCCAGGAAGAGAGGACTCTTTTTTTTCCTCCTCCCTTCAGTCCAGTTTGAACCCGTCCCAACAACTAGCTAAGGCCCCTAAATGACCGCTCAGTGATAAAGGAGCATACATATAAATATTAATGGTTTTAATATTATTTTCCTTTTAAGTAATTGTATTTTGCTACCGTATTTATATTTGTATTGTGAACTTTTAGTTTAAAAATTTTGAAAAATATTATGCTTTGTTTTCATAAAGCAATTCTTCGTGCTACTTTAGGAAAAAATATATTTTATTATAGTTAGGATGATAATGTCATTTCTATATGTATGGATTTTAGAATAAGAATACAAGACTGTTCACCAACTGAAATATGGCATAACATACTGGAATTTGACACAAATCTCATAATGTTAAAGAGTTTATCACATTTTATTTCTACTCTTTTTCAAATTACAAAAACTCCTTAAATTTGATAGAATTTGGATACATTCCAAAACGTTTTGATTCATTGCATTCTGGTGTCGGATACATCCCTCAACGTCTTGATTTATCGCATCTCAATTCTCGAATACATCACTCAATGTCTCAATACATCGCATATGTCCCAATACATCACATTACGTGATGTATCAGACCGATACATCGCGTAAAGTGATGTATTCGATCGATACATCGCGTAAAGTAATGTATCCGAGAATAGGAGAGAGTAGAAATTTTTGTAATTTTTTTAAATGGTAGGAAATTTTAGAAAATATGATAAAATAAGTTAAATATTTAGGTAATTTTCTATAACACATAAAGTGTAGACCCATGCTTGCGTTGCGTGGGCTAATGCCATCTAGTAATATATCTATGTGGGCACACAAACTTTCTTGAACTCATGTTAAAGCCTCTATATATGACTATGTTACTTATAATAAAAAATGTCATAAATAGTCCGTTAACTATAAGAGTAATACTATACAATATACATATACTC